ATTTGTATCACCTCAATGTAATGGTTAAGGTTTATAAGGTTAGAAAGGTAAATAAGTAGAGACTCAATTTTTGTCATCTAATAATTTGTTGAAGATTAAAACTGTAAAAGTTAAACTGAATTAAAATGGCCAATTAAATGGAAAAATTTGAGTTTATTTTCTGGTCTAAAGGATTTTTAATTGAAACAACATCTACAACAGGTTGATTGACAAGATTAACAATCCCTTTTCATGTAAAATATATTTCAAATTTTAAAATAATTACTCGTTCCAGTGTTCAACAGTTTATATTTTATTACAACCCAAAACTCAGGTAACACTTACACCTTATAGGCTTTACCCCCTTTAGGGATAATCAACCGTCAAATACAATTTTAAAGTCGATTGGAACAACATTATTTAATCTAATTAATTCGCTTCTAAATCGTTAATTTAATCCCTCTTCAAATACAGGATTATCAATTAGCAATGTTACATGATTCTTAACCTGATTCCTGTTTCATCAACAATTAATACAGAAAGTAAGTAGAGTCAGAAAACATCGGTTAACATCATTTCATTTCCTTTTTTTGAACAACTTTTACAATTTAGTTTTTTGAACTTGTCAAGTGAAAAGACTTAGCACTGAAAAGACAAAAGTAAGTCAATATTTTCAAGATTTCTATTAATAATCATTGTGAAGATGTTGAAAATTATTAACTCTTCCACTTTGTTTGGTATCATCTTCATGATCATCGTCAGCTAAGTAATCATTCAATTTTGGTATGATTGGTGTTTGAATGCTAATGCATTTTCATGCCTCCGCACTTTATCGACCAAATGATTTGTTACATCGATAATTTTGATTTCACATTCAATAAGAGTTAATCTGGTTTGCTTTTGATTCAAGTTCTTGTTGACAACCTGTTAAATATGAAAAAACCGATGAGATAGTTAATTGAAGAGCATTAGGCAAATATTGAAAGTAAATCATCTTCATACCGAGATTAAATCCTCTTCACCTTCTCCTTATGTTTGCACAATTGTTTCAGTCAATATCTAATCGGATACAACGTAGCAAATTGCTTGAATCAAAGGGTAAAACCAAAATTTCAATGTAGCAACTTTTTATCAGATGGTAATCAGGTTGAAATAGACGTGTTGGAATAATCAAGAGTCAAAAAATGAAACATGACTGTCACAACAAGACGAAGTGCTTCTTGTTTCCTTGTTGTTTAATTTCGTTAACCAGATACAAGATTTTTCTCCACGCTTTAAAGATAAGCTTTATTTTGCTAACGGGTAACAGAACATTGTTCTTGTTTAGACTTTATTGGACAAAGTTGTTTACTTTTGCCGATAAGATTTCCACAATTGCCATACATTTTTGCCAAAAAAGGCTTGACTTTGACAACGCTTTAGGTTTCTTTTTCTTTCTTTGGCTTTAAACCGTGTGATTCTAGTTAGTAAAGTAGTCAGGACCTAAGGTAATAAAATAACAATCAGGTAAACAGAATACGATTGAGATAATTACTTTTAACTTTTAACATTGGGAACATGTCGGTGGCATCATCTAACTTGGTTATCGGTTATATCTTGATCGTCATTATGATAATAAATGACATTTACTTTCATTGAGTTAGACATTTTTCATGTTTCCTTCATGGTGAGCTCTTCTTGGTGACTTTCAACTACAACCTAAAAATAGATGGAAAGGAAAAATAAATGATTAATTAAATTCAATTTAACCATTGAAGATGTTTGTTTTAATGTAATGCTACAAACATCAACAACATATCCTTTGATTACTCAATTGAGATCTGGAAAGCAAGGATTGAACAAGAAAATATTCCCGATCAAAGATCGTTGTTGAAGATTTTATCACACCAATCAATAGTTGAAACCAATCATTGAATCAACTGTCAAATCAAATTTCACTTACATGCTTGTGAGAACCATGAACAATTTCAAAATAAAGTCCTCAAACTTCAGAATGTGAAATCCATTGGATAAAACTATAAGAAATAAAAAAGCCATTACAGTTACACAAGAAACCTTTGATTGAACACTATGAATGAACGATTGCAGAACAGACCTTTTCCAAATCACACTTAACACAGGAACTATTAATGAACATAAAAGATGATTAACAATGGAAGCATAATTAGTTAAAAATTAGTATAAAAACATAAAATAACCGTAAAGCTTAAAGACGTTAACCGGTCAAATGGCAAGTCATGCTAAGGGGGGAAACAAAATGGGAAAGCGTTAAAAGGGTAAAGAGCGCGAGGTTCAAGTTTAACAAAAATTAACACCAATTTGATTTCTGATTTGATTTGCTATTCAAATAGATGTCTGAACTATCAAATTGTCCATGCAAACTGACTGGAATGATGTGAACACTGAAATATTATGTAAACCTCATCAAAAGGCAATTGTGAATGTAAATGAAATGCTTTTACCGTTCATTAAATGTTCACTTTGATGAAGCTATTAATTGTTTCACTACATTAAACTCTCCCCCATTGAGGTAATTCACAGTCTAATGAAATGTTGAATTAATTACCGGAAACTGATAGGTAAGTGAAAGTAAATTAATAATCTTACCTTTGTAAACGGAAATGCTAGACAATTCCTTAGCAATATTAGTGCGAAACTATGAATTATTGTCTAATTTTGTCTAAATTGTTGCTATAAGGTGATTAGGTAAGTCCCGATGATCGCCATGTTTCCAATGTCAGAATGGTACCAACGGTAAATGATAGCCACGCTTCCTTACCCCAAGTTTCGATGAACCTTAATTGTTTTTCTTTTGGCCTAAAATCTCAAAAAAGGCCACCATTTTACGTAAATTTAAGCGATAAATTATCAGTTTATTGTTATACATAAATGAAGGTTTTCTTAATTTGAATTCGAGGCCTACCAATTAGCATAAAATGGCTTAATTTTTATAAATTGTTTAACAAGAATCTAGATAAAATCAGATAAAAGATTATCAAGAAAATGAGCTGGAAAAATGTCTTATTCATTTCGAGCATCGGAACTTACCTAAGCCTCTAATACAATTTGAAAAGTTAATATTGATCACAACTTTGGGAATGGGTGATTAGATGTTATGTTTGCTCAGTAAATGAATCAATTTTAAATCAAACTTGACTTTAATTTTTAAACTTTTTAACGATTTTTGCTAAACTTTTTGATCGCCAATTAAGATAACATTGAACTGTAATTGTGATTAATATGAACAACTTTATGATTTTAAGGAAATATCATTACAAGGTGAAATTAAAGTTCATTTGATGTCAAAAGTTTCAAGACGAATGTTGAGTTTATTGAAATTTATTAAGTATTTCAATTCGTTATTAAATATAATAATATTAAATTACAATTGATTAATTTATACAAATGATGATTTTGTGTCAAAAGCAAAGGAAGAGTTAAATTAAAGATTACAACTTTGTTTTGACAATCCTCTTAACAATTAACCTTCCAAGTTAACTGTTATTGTTGTAATTGTATTGAGAATGGAGATTTTGTCTGTGAAATGAAATGAAACCAGAAAATAAATTAGTATTGATATTCACACAGATACAATCGAGATGGTTACTTACGTTTTAATTGCGTTGATAATACAACTCTTTTAAATTTAGGTTTGATTAATCAACTGTTCAATTGAACAATAATTTCTAAGTAGATTTGTTTGTAATCAGGATTCGTGAAAGTCATCCTTGATCATTTAGTTACCAATCATTATTGGATTTTGTTGAGTAGTTTCAGCTTCATTTGGTTCAATTTCAATTTATTTTATTTGAAACTGAGAGTTGACCAAATATTTTTGATAAATTTCAATTGATTGAGATGATGATTTGATTCCAGTTGATCATTCATTTGATTAACAGGATCCATTTGATTGTGTTTCAATCAATTGATCATTTCCATTTTCATTTATAATCTGAGAATCCATGTCTTTATATTGATTCAAATGATCATTAAATACAGATGAAGAGCCATTGATACAATTAGCATAATATTTACAACATAATCGG